AGTCTAGCTATGTTCTTAGTGAAACTTCGTACAGGTGATAGCAATGAACGCATAGCTTCTCTATTTAATGTAGCTTCATCGACTGTGTTCAATCACTTAAATATTGTAAGTCAGTGCTTTGAAGAGCAATTCATCCAACTGGATTTAGGGACAAATACCTTATGCATTCAACAAGTTGCTCAATATAACTTGACAATACCAAATGGCTTGTTTGGTAATCCAGATATGGATCCTGAATTTATGCCAGCCATAGTAATATGTGATGGTACATACATTTATGTGCAAAAAAGTAGTAATTACTTATACCAGAAGCAAACATATAGTTTACATAAGTATCGTAACTTAGTTAAGCCATTTTTAATAGTGTGCTGTAATGGTTATATCCTTGATGTTTTTGGACCATATCCTGCAACAGAATCAGATGCTTCTATAATTCTTAGACTGTTCAACGATAGTAGTCCACTGCGAACCTATTTTAGAGAAAACGATGTATTTATTCTTGATAGAGGTTTTAGGGATGCAATTCCATTCTTGCAGCAATGTGGTTATAAGGCTTACATGCCTGAATCTAAACAAGCTGGTGAAATACAATTATCAACCATTGCTGCCAACAAGTCCAGATGTGTAACTTTGTGCAGGTGGGTGATTGAAATTGTAAATGGGAGATTTAAACGGGACTTCAAATTATTTCGTCAGGAATATTTTAATACTGCATCTACTCATCTCATGCTATACTTTAAAATTGCAGCTGCATTAATAAATCGATTTCATACGTTGATTCGTAATAATTTTCATGCTGTAGAGATATTGGCAATTGCTCAAGCCAAACTAAACACTCCAAATAATTTAGCCTCCTACGTAGAAATGCACAATTTAAATAGAGTGAGAGTGCGATTTGCCAGCATTAATGGTAATCTTCCAGAGCTGGATAGTTTTCCTCAACTGACATTCCAGGATCTCATTCTGTTTAGTCTAGGAATTTATCAAATTAAACAAGCTCGTAGTTATTACGGGGAGCATGTCAGGGCTTCTGGAGAATATAAAATCGAGGTATACCTGCAATCTGTCCATGATTTTGGTCCAAATAGTTATCTATTGCGAGGTAGGATACAATCAAGGCACACTAGTAAAAAAACTTATTACACTTATATACTAGTTGACACCAACCCATCAATTGCTAACACTAGGGCTGCTCTTACTGGGTACTGTTGCAACTGTTTGGTAGGCAGACGCACTGTTGGCTGCTGTGCACATGTCATGTCTGTTGTCTGGTTTCTATCTTGGGCACGGCATCGAGATGAGGTTGAACCACCTGCATCTTTTTTTAGATGATATATTACTTTCAAGTAATGATATTGAAAATGATGAATGATGATTATTAATCTTAATGCGTATTAATATTGTAATATAAATGATCATTTTTGCTATAGTTGCTTCACTTGTGGCAACCAAAGTTTTTTGTGGTATTCTATAGGAAGATGCTGCTCCCCATCTCCTAGTATTTTTATTTTATTCTGTCGACTTTAACGACACCATACGGGACGGAACGTGATGGCAATTCACGGAAGGCCTCTGTAATATTTTACATTATATCTTTAATTTAGGAGCCATATGTTCGGCAGTGGACTGTTGTAATGATGATGAATAATGATGACTAAAAATTGTAATTTTTGTTGCTTATTTGAACTATTTCTATTTTACTGTGTGCTTTATTATCTGTTATATATTATGTTATATGTGTAATTTATAAATAAACGCCGAGCAAAGTTGAATTTATTGCTTTGGCACCCTTTTTTATCTCTTTTAATTGACAATATCCTTCTGATTTCTAATAATATCGTAAACGGGCGAGACATTATATTTTAATGATGTATGGGATTTATACTTGCTAATAGATGAATACTTTAATGAACAAAGGGCCGGCACTGCACCTGTCTGCTGTGTTATTTTTAAAAGAGGACTCATAAAACACTGACGATTTTAACCATAATTAATGCAGTGATTATACATGATCTTTGGGACTTATTACATATCAATATCGTATCATAAATAGAAATGTTACCATCAAGTTATTTTGAAAAAATCTTTTAATATGATCTTTTGATATGAAAACACGAAAAATGTTTCTACCTATGTCCGTTAGAAACCATCCAAGCGATTTTGATGATATGTTTATGTGTGTTTGAACGGGTCTCTATATGATTCATATTCACATATGGACTCGGTAGGTGGCGCTGTTGTCGAAATCCAGAAATCACCTGTGCGAAGTCGGGGCGGATCGCTAATAATAAATACAATTAAACTATACCTGTGTGTTTGTTATCCTGGCACAAACAGTTCAAAACATCTTACTTCCTCACAATTTATCAGTGTGTAATAACAGATAAGCATGATATTACCTAGTCATTTTGGTATTTTAGAACCCAGTCATTTTAAGATGTATAATTAGGTATTTAATAATCAACCAAAGCATATTAAAAAAAGTCTTGACACCGGGCCTGTCTGTCTGTCTGCATAAATAGATCTGAATTATATGTCTGAATTATATAGACTATGTTGGAAATGATGATTTACCATCTATAAATACGGTTGCATTATAACTTGTTTTTTACACAGTCAGTTTAAAACATCTTTCTTACTATATAACGTGTGTTGGTAATATTGTAAATATAAATGGATATATTATACCTTAGTCATCTTGAATTTATTCATATTATTTTAACGGTAATTGGGAAGTACACTCACAATCAATATATGTAAAAAATTGTATCCATACCACATTTGTACACAGACAGGCACTATATTTTGCCGTAACTACTAAAAATATTGAAGTACCTGAAAATGCTGAATGTACCTACAACTTGGTTTTATATGAACTATTATTCAACAGTGCACTATTTTAACTTAAAATACCGGTAAAAACCACTATAAATAGCTTTTAGTTTATTTATAGGTTATTTTAAAATTCATATTTTAATTGTCAATTTCTCGATTTTCCGTCTAGATGTGGTAAAACTAATATTACTTTTGTAAACTATAAATTATAAGGAATAAATCGACATCCATTTCATTGCGTGACGCGAAAATTTGTGGTGGGCCCATTCTCCATACAAAAATTGATTGTCTCCTTTGTCATTTACATTATTAACATGCCCCTAATAATTGTAAAAAACATCTCATGAAATAAAAAAATATTAAGTATAGTTACAATAAATTACTCCAAAATGATAAATGGATTAGACACAAGTATTATATTATATTATATAAGGTGTAGGGTTTGGGAATTCCCGACAATTTTTAAGTCCCGGGACACGAGACAGTCTACTATCAAAGTCCCGGGAAATTCCCGGGACTTCGACTTTTAAGTAAATTTTTTTTAAGAGAAGTGAGTTTTTTGAAGAATTTTAATTCAGTAAATTTCTGGTGAAACGTATTGAAAAAGTCAATTCAAAATAATCAAGTCAAGTCAAAATAATCAAAAGTTATTAATGTTATTAAGAAAAATGTAATTTATCTTAATAACTTTAACGTTATTTCAGGCTTAATAATTGCATTGTTCGGTTCTTTTAATCACACAGATTCACTTTTAAGCAGTTAAACCTTATAGTTTTACAACGAACCTAGTTAAAAATCATACTAATTCTTAATAACATTACTATTATGTAGTAATTCTAGAATCTAATTATTGGTCATTATAACAACATTGTTAATTCAGATTTGTTTCATAATTAAATAATCTGAATAAAAATAATAAAACAGACTTATAAATCAGACTTTCAAATAATCAACTAACACATTAATTAGACTTCTTTGCTTGTTTAATAAAATAGGCTTTTAAACAATCAGAGCGTCAGCAGCTTTGTTCGACAATTTGTTTCTGATTTTGTAATAATGCCACCGGACAAGGAGAACACACACCCTCGTTTTCAACAGATGTCGGTTTGATTATGTTTAAGGCTTTATACAGTAGTTCCAAACTTTTTGTACGTTTTCCGGTTGCTTCAAACAACTGAAACTCCTTTTATAATTTAACTAACAGATGGCGCTAGGCTCTTTCTATTATTTGAAAATAAAAATGATGATAACATAACATTTTCGACAATCTTGTCTCGTCTCGAGTCTCGACCGAAAGTCCCGGGACTCGAGACAACTAAAATTACGAAAAGTCCCGGGACTTCGAGATACGAGACGTCCCGGGACCCAAACCCTAATAAGGTGCTAAACAAAGTGATTAACTAATTGAATTCATATTAGCCTATATTAACACTGTCACTGTTCGATTTGTAGACACAATAGTAAGACAATAGCAATGACCCGTATGTGGATCACGGGACAGGGAAAGGGTTAAGACTTAGCATGTCTAATCATGCCTCTTCAAAAATGATGACAACTTGAAATCTTCATATCCAAAGTGTTTTCGGTGGTGTCTGTCAGTACATTGTTATGTCTACAGTTAACAGAATTATACATAACTGAAAGTAAGAATGTTATAAGCACAGCAGGCCTGCTCTGAACACAAATATGGGATATAAATGTGTAACTCACTGAGTGCACGCAGTGATTACAATAGACGTGTGTCGCGATGCGCTGAACAAACATTATGCTCAATGTAGTTCTCGAAAAGTGAAGTGTGCACGTAGGTCGTCGCTACGTAGTTCGCAGAGCGAAGTTACTGTTGCCAACTTTAGCGGAGTACACGCCGCGAAGTGAAAGCTACGTAGCGCAGACAATAAGAAGTGCAGACACTGAAGAGTTCGTTCTCGGCGCACAGGCCAATGATAACCTATAACATAGTTATCATTGGTTTACGTGGGTCCAACACAATGGAATGGAATCTTTACTTACATCAGCACCTCAGGTAATATGATGCAATTTGTTTTTGGTTATGTCCATGAAATAAGCTGTCATATAATTTTAACTAAATATTTGAGGCAAATCTGCCTCATAAAGATTCCATACCAGAGACATATTCATAATTTATAAACTAAAGTCTGTGTTACCTGCGACGGCGACGGCGCGTGCAGTCTCTTGCATAATGCCCACGATCTCCACAATCATAACAACGATCATCATACGGTCGTGGAGGCAAACGTGAACGTGGTGGCGGCCCACGGCCATATCCTCTGCTTCCATTCGACATTTCAACACGGGCACGTCGACCACATATTGTTCTCCCGTCTAAGCCTCTAATCTAAAGGAAAACAAGAAAAACGCATAGTTATTTTATAAGGTTGAAGTTAGAAAGGTAAGCGGCAGCTCCTCGTTATATGGAGCGATAACCTGATAGATATGCATGCAGTTGAAGGGGCCCCTGTTTCAATTAACTACTCAAAAGTTAGTACTTTCAGTCCAGTACTTAACTGTATGTAAAGAAATGCAAATATGTCAATTTGACCTCGTCTTATGAGATTAGGTGAGGATGAAGGGCTGGACTGGTCCTAAAGAAACAAAGGTGTGGCAAACCCCAATCAAACATGAAAAAATCCTACTCAAGTGGCTATAAATCTTTTTTGGTACTTTCATATATGCTAAAGCATCATGTAAGATCAAAGCTGGAGGCAGTGGAGTTGAAATCTCATAAGGATAAGGGACTTTTTTGAAAATGTATTGATTTGATCCATATAAATATTACGTAATCAATATTCAGAAGGATGGTCTTATAATAAAATAATAAATGAAGACCTGTACAAACAACAGACGTATCCACAATCAATGCTGGAGCCCAAATAGAAAGGTAGTTGCATGTGCTACTTTAAGAAACAAAATTAATTTTCTGGAAAGATTGGTGGTACTGGTTTGATAAGAGCAAATTTGTAAAATGCAAATACAATAAAGGTAATAAATAATTTCTGTTTACTAACCCCTAGTTAGTGTTCTTTTTACCTTTAATTTTTGTCAACGTAATGTCTTAGAATTAAATTTATCTGTGCTAGGAGGTCACATTAAAGGCCACTGGGTGCTCAGTATGGTATTTGGGTCTGAGGATGACTAGAGATGCTCCTAGACATTATTAGGTCAGCTGAGACACTGGTACCCCTTTTATACAGAAACATGTGGAGAAAACATCTGGTACCACAATTCATACCAATTGTTGGTGGGCATATGATTGATATGCTGGTAGTTGTTGGGAGCACTAAGCTCGATGTTGTTACCAAGTATGTTAACCTTGGACAAATAGTCTGACTAGGTAAGTCCAACTTCAACCGTGAGGTCAATCGACGGATTCAACTCAGCTGGGTAGCATTCAGAAAATTACGACACATCTTCTTGTCAGGTATACCTGAAACGAGTTTGTACAACCAGTGAGTGTTGCCAGTGATGACTTAAGTATCTGAGACGTGATCCTTCACTGCTGTAGTACTTATTGAAAGTAATTTTTTACTTTTACCATTGAATTAACCAACAAGAAACCCAGTGGGACTTTTTTCTTAAAAGTACAATTTACGATATAATATTTGATACAATTGTTATGAAAACATTAAAAAAAAGGGTATGGTAGCGATCACTAGCGAGCGATATGGGAATGAGCCCGGGGGGTTATTTTCTATCATGTACTCTTTAGTACTACAATAACCCTTACTAAAAATTTTTGCTTAATAAATATTTTATAGCTTTTAATAGATAAGGTCTGCATATTTTCTGGGACATTGTTGTAAAAAGAGTGTCATTATCCCATGAAGAAATTACTGACTCTTTGGGAGTTGAGTAACTGGTATAACTAACTTGTGCTTTTTCTTATTATTTACATTATTATTTACAGAATTTACATCACTATTTTTAATAAAACTATTTTTGTTTTTGTGCACATATATTAAATTTTCGTATTAATTAAGTTAATATAGTTCTTTAAATTTTTCTGTGACTATTGATTTTTTACTAATTCATGCTAATTACATGAATAAAAAATAAAGAAATAAATCTGGGTGTGTGGTGTGTGTGTAACAACAATTTTGGGAGGAAGTTGTACATACCTATAGTTTACAATAACTACTAGCAAATATATGGGTAAGGTCGTAAACAAATGTACTTTTTGAAAGTTTTGAGTGAGCCCATGTTTGATTGTGAATACCATATGCTAACAAAAAGTATGATAATATTATTAATTAATAAAACATTGATAATCATGTTAAGAATAATGTAGAAATAACCATATTATTCAAGAGGCTTAAACATACAAAATAAAAAAATATTTTTGAATCAACAAAATAAAGCTGCATACAAAATTTATTTGTCTCCTATCAACTAACGGGTCGAAAAAATACAACATATAAAAATAATATAGCATTATGGTTTAAAATTTTAGTTTACTTTGAAATCAATAAAGATGCCGTGTGACAATGTATAAATTATTGCAATAATACAATATAATGGAAAATAATCTCATTTTAATTTGTGTCTCCAAAAGTTATCCAGTGTGTTACTCCAATTCGATATGGGACAGGTTTTTTGTTTTCAACATTAAACAACATTATTGACCTAATTTCGGTGAGGCAATGCCGTAGACTTACTGTCAAATGTCAGTTTATATATACACATAGACATATTTTTTTTTTATTTGTAGTTGTGACCGTAAACAATTGTAAATTCCATAACATCCCTCAGTAGCCGAACTAGGTCCGTTTTTAATTAAGAGGTCGTCGCCTTTCGTCAACTTTTCCACTCGCACAGGACCATAAAATAAAAAATGTTTAAATGATAAGAAGCATTTTTTTAAATTTTTATTAAATGGCAAAATATAAATAAGTTATTGTTAAAAACACATTTTTTAATGTGGCTTTATTATATTTGTATGCTGAGTTTATTAGATAAACACAAAAAGTTTTTTTTAATCATTACATATTAAATTAATACTATGTTATAGTTCACCTATTGATTACTTAACCTCCTGAGGCCCAGAATTTTTTGAGTTCAAAAATTTAATAAAAATCAAATCATTGAGCTATAATAATGTTATGAATACCTGGAAAAATAAAATAAAAAATCTTTGGTGGAAAACTGGGATTTTCTCAATGTTGTTTACAAACAACATCGGTTCTCAATTACTACTGAAATAAAACTCGAATTGAACTACATTTAGACAGTTTATTACAACATTTATGGATATATTGAAATAAATTCAGAAAATTTTACATAAAAATTTTTAGGTAAAATATTCTGCTATCAGATCTGGAAATGTCGTATCCCCTTGATAAATCACCATAATGCAATTTCATAGTTTCAGAGGGGTTGTCAAGCACAAATACCTTAATACCAACGGGATTAGGCTTTCCTGGACGGTATTGACGTATACCGCAATGGCCACTAAATGGTATAATTATTTCGTCTATGCTGATGTTATCCTTTCTTGGCTGAGCGCTACAACCGCGAAGAACAACATCGAACAATGGTGCAACGTTCCATATTTTATTCTTTTTTCTTCTTCTGAAACATCGACATTGTATACTATCTTCAAAGAAGTTCTGTTTTGACCAATACTGTCTAATCTGTGGCAAGCTAATAGCACCCATGACTAATATTGAAACTGAAAGAGGTGAAATTTTTTATAGTATTCCTATAAAAAATTTCACCTCTTTCAGTGCAATTTTCAGTTATTTACCTGTTTTTGAAAAGTAAGACTGGTTAGTAGCAACCACAATCTTCTCGAAAATATCATTATCAATGTACTGTTTAAAAAGTCTTCTGGCGACCACTACTTCTTGTCCACTAAAACATATCTTGGTTGAAACAATGATCGCTCCAAAGGAGAAAAATCTCCATTCCAGTTATTGTCCGCTGATTGCGCAGTAGAATTGTGAATACTAACACTCCGTCCTCCTCTTGTTATTACACCCCTCTTTTGTCATGAACGACCTCCTCGTGTTCTAGCTCCAACTCTAGTTGTAGAACACCCTCGACAGAATGACGATGACGTAGAAATTTCTGACGAAGGCCGAGATTTGCTTTCAAATTCTGAAGGAGAACCTGAATCTGAATCACTTAGACTAGACTCTCTCACAGGAGGTGACTCTTCTGACTGTTTACCGTCATCGTCGTCTGATAAAATATCCAGGTCCGAATCTTCGAGGGCATCGGTAATGTATGCAACTTTCAAAACTGAAAAATAAGTCAATAAATATAACAATAAATAAATGAAATCTCTATGGTTTAAAAGTTTACTTCGGACTTCGAACATGTAGGTACGGAATTAAGAACCGATGTAGTAAATATACAACGTAGGTAGTAAATTTCAAATATACCATAAATAACTATCGCAATCTGTCAAATATTGTTTGTATTACAAAGAATACTATTTGGATTATAGTTTCACACCAAAAAAATAATGTAAATACTATAGATTTGCACAAAATTTAAAGATTACTCACCACTTCGCCACCGTTGTTCTGCCATCTTTCGCAACAAGTAGACTGATGTCAAAAAATATGAGAAGTTGCAAAAAAATTACTGCTTTAATTATTCAAGCAACATGTCTTCTGTGGTCTAATTACAAAATTTTGACTATAATTCAACAGATGGAGGTGTAATGAATTTTTATTTTTTATGTTGTATATATACTACTGTGAGCCTCAGGAGGTTAAATAAACGCTTTTTTAAATTTAAATTTATTTCTTAAACTACGCGAACGCGAATAGTCTCAAATGGGATAGCCCTTATAATTAAAAAAAAAACAAAATCTGTGATAAATGGTAAAAATTACGGTATCTGTACTAATTGTAAACTGTAAACACATATTTGCTAAATTCGTTATGTTTCTTTTATAAATAACCTACTTTGATTAGTTCCTACTGATTTTTGTAAGCACATTATTTAGTTAAAGGCTTTAATTCTACTTTGTTGTTATTTTGGTTTAGTTTCGCAAACATGCAAGATATGCATAGTCTAAGATTCGTTTTTGATTATTTAATCTTAATTTCATGAAAATAAGTAATTGATAATATTTTAAAATGGATTTTACTTAAACCTTTTTCCAAGTGAACATTGACCTTTATATTATTCCAGTATGTTTTTGTGTTACCGTATCCGAACAACTCCTCAGAGCACTCTCCATGGTATATGCAAAATAAAATGCAAAGAGATGCAACATCTCTTCGCAGTGCCAGTGAATCGAGCCGATCGGAAAGCACTCGGTCGTCGACGATTCGAGCCGCTCTGCGCTGGATGCGGTCAAGTGGAAGGAGCTGGTACTGGGGAGCC